CCTTGCTTCTCTCTAGGCCCTTGGCCCAGTCCCTCTTTCCTCCTGGAGAACGTGTGGTTTGCGTTTCCTGTCTTTACTTGCCTTCTCTAAGCCCCTGTTTGGTTCCCTCTTCAGCTGATTTTTTTTTTTTTTTTAATTCGACGGAGAGAGATCACAAGTAGGCAGTGAGGCAGGCAGAGAGAGAGGAGGAAGCAGGTTCCCCGGTGAGCAGAGAGCCCGACGCGGGGCTCGATCCCAGGACCCTGAGATCATGATCCGAGCTGAAGGCAGAGGCTTAACCCACTGAGCCACCCAGGCGCCCCTTCAGCTGATTTTTGACCCGGATTGATTGGAGTTTGTTCATACAAGAGTGTAGTCCATGTTCAACTCCCAGGGTCCTGCTCTTTGGAGTCTTTAAGGTCCCAGCTCTGAAGTGTGCACGGGCCTTGGGAAGGGGCCCTCCCCGGCCCTCCTTCCGGAGCCCCCATTGGAGGAGAGCAGAGCCCTGGGAGGTGTGTGTTGGTTGGTGGTGAGCACACAGCTTGGCAGAAGGGCCCCCGGATGAAAAGGGTTCAGGAAGGACAGGGCTTGGCTGGAGAGTCAGGGAGCTGGCAGCTCAGACTGAAGAGCTTTGGAGAACCTAAGCTGGCTCCGTTGGCAGTTTCCTAAAATGTGGCTCCTCGAGCTGCCCTTCCTCTCTCACCATCTGTCCCCATCTGTCCCGAGGTTGCTCTGCGTAGGCAGAGGACAGCTGTGCCTTATGAGATGTTTGCGGCATCCTGGGTGGAAGCCCGAGTTGTCTCCCGGAGCCACCCCTATGGACATGCTCAGCCATGATCTTAGCAGATCTTAGCATCGATGAGGACTCTGCCAGCCAGCATTCACAGTCTGAGACCCCAGGAAGTGACACCTGTCTGCTTGCCTTCCCTGAAGCTGGGGGACAGGGGCATGCCTTTCTGCTCCCACCCCGGGGGGACTAGGCTAGGGTGGGGCTCAGTTCCCAACTCCCGGGTTGGAGCAGCCACCAGTCTCCTGTCCCCCCACCGCCCTGCCCCTACTACCACCTGTCCCCCCCTCCCTGCTTATTGGAATTGCTCAGGGTGGCCCCTCCGGAATGTCTGTCTCAGCCCCTTCGGTACCTATGAGAAAACGCAGGCCCAAGGAAGATAACTGACTGGTTCCTGGCCTTCCAGTAAGTTTGCATAAAAGCCAGACTTTCTCAGGTCTTTTCTGTCCTTGAGTCTTTTCTCTTCCTCACTGCCCCTGAACCCTTCCCTCCGCCCTACAGTGGAGGGTGACCCCATGCAGAGACATCACTATGGAACAAAGGGTTATTAGGCCAGCTCTGTTAGCTGTGTAACCTTTCCTCAGTCTCTTAACCTCTCTTGTTTCTCTTCTGTCTAACAAGAAAAATAGTGATGAGATTTAGAAAGAACAGAACAGAAATGCCTGTGGGTGGTTGCAGAGTTGTTTCAGCTAAAGTTTTAAAAAGAGAAGAAGAGGAATAGAATTCAAATGGTCAGAGGAAAAATTAATGTTAGCTAGGGGGTTCTCTTGCCCGTGATCCCCAAGGATCTTGCCTCTCTAGGAAGTGACCCAAAGGAGACAAAAAGAGGTTCATTCCATAAAGATTGATTTAGGCTTTTGAAACTGCTGCATCTCCCTTCCACATGTGCTGTCTTCTGGATGTCCCCACCTGTCCTCACCATGAAGGAGGTGAAGGTTTAAGCCTGAGAGCATAGGACCCTTTTTTCTCCTCAACACCCCCCTCCCCCCGCAACTCCATACACTCTAGGTTTAGAAGTTCCTGCAGAAGATGAAGTTCCCACCCTGAGGTTCCCTGGCTTGCTACAACCTTCTGGGGTCACCACTGGTGTGCCGCTGCTTCTGTGGGGGTGACTGGTAGAGCAGAGGGGTGACCCCCTCCTCACTATGTCCAGCTGCCCCTGCCCAGGCAGGAAGGCTCAGGACCCTCGTAGCCTGGGACCTGGCGCCCCCTGCAGGAGCGGTGGCACCTGGGCGGTGATCACAAATGACCAGCGGGATGCCCACTTTACCCAGGCACCTTCTCTCCTGGTCAGGGAGACCCCCATCACTTTCATTTCTTGAAGCTCCTAGAGTATTCTTTTAAACAATAATAAACAGGGCTAATGAGCTGTAGTGTGGTCTGCACGTTCACTTGGAACAGAGTAATGCTTTTCATAGCCACGGGGCAGTGTGATTGTGCTGTTCCCAAGATAACAAGTTCTGAAAAGCAACAAAACAAACCGCAGAGCACTGAAGGCTGGAAGTGGGATGCTGGTTTACAGGTGTTTGATGAGTGTGTCATTTTTGTCCTGGTCTGTGTTTTCCTGGATCATACGTTAGCCTCATTTGGGAGAAGGTCAAGACTTTCGATTTGAGAAGGCCTTTAGTGATGGTGGCTTCCTAGTGCTGGGCCTGGCCATGGGGTCTCTGCAGGTGGGTCTTTTAGGGTCTGGATGTGCATTGGGCTCTCTCCCAAGGTGGCCCCACAGTGGAGAGAGAGCAGGTGCTTGGATGTGCCGAATGGGACAGAGACCACTGCAGTCAGGGTCATGGGCTTGGGCTCTGTGTGGGTCAGTTAGCTACAGCCTACTCACTGCCCCCTGCTGGTCATCATAGGAATCGGTGACATTTCTCTGGAACAGCAGTTCTCAAACTGTGATCCCTGGATCTGGGGAGGGTGTCTCCACCACCTTTCAGGAAATTCACAAGGTCAGAACTGTTTTCATAATAATAACGAAATGCTCCATCCCATTCTCTCACAAATGTACAGAAAAGGAAGAGTTCATGAATATGGTTTCAGATGCCACATTAGCGCTAAATCTTTAAGAAGCTACCATCGGTTGAACCTGGTACATGAGGAAAAAATATCCACGAATATTTGGAAAGACTGTTAAAATACTCCTCCTTTTCCCAACTATAGTACATGTTTGTGAGAGTCTAGATGTCCGTCATGTGGAACAAAACCACAGAATCACAAAAGATTGAACAAAAAATCAGATATCATCCAGCTAACTTTTGTTAAACCAAACATTACACAGATCTTTAAAAATGCAAAACAAAGCCATTATTTTCACTTGTTTTTGTTCTGAAAATGCAGCTTTCTAAATTGAAACATGTGAATGCCTAATGGGTTTATTGTTTTTCGATGAATCTAAATTAATTTTTTTTCTCAGTATTAATTTCTAATGTGGTATCAATAGATACAACCCACATAATTTGGTGTTCTCAAAAACTTTTTATGACCATTTAATGAGATGTAGTTCATATACCATAAAATTCACATTCTAGAAGGATTCAATTCATTGGTTTTAGTTTATTCTCAAAGTTGTGCAACCATCACCACGACCTAATGGCAGAATATTTTCATGACCCCAAAAAGAAACCCTGAACCCATTAGCAGAAGCTCATTCCTTCTTCCCTCCGCCCACACTCCAGCCCCTGACAACCATTAGTCTGCTTTCTGCCTCTGTGGATTTGCCTGTTCTGAACATTTCTTGTAAATGGAATAATACAACATGTGGTCTTTTGTGACTGGCTTTTTTTTTTTTTTTTTTTTTTAGTAGGCTCTATGCCCAGTGTGGGGCCCAATGCAGACCTTGAACTCATGACCCTGAGATCAAGACCTGGGCTGAAATTAAGAGCCGGACATTTAAGCGACTGAGCCACCCAGGCTCCCCTTTTGTGCCACCTTCTTAGACTTAGCCATCTTATAGCTTATAGCAGTACTTCACTTTTAATGGCCAGATAATATTCTGTTGTGTATGGGTAACTCCATATGATCTCCATTTATCAGTAGGCGGACATTTCAATTAGTTCCACTTTTGGGCTGTTGTGAATAATGCTGCTATGAACATACAAGCTTTTTTTTTTTTAATATTTGTTTATTTGACAGAGAGCACAAGCAGGGGGAGGGGCAGGCAGAGGGAGAGGGAGAAGCAGGGTCCCCACTGAGCAGGGAGCCCGACCTGGGGCTGGATCCCAGGACCCCAAGATCATGACCTGAGCCCTTGAAGGCACACGCTTAACCGACTGAGCCACCCAGGCTCCCCACCAGCCTCAGTAGTTTTTAAGAGTAGGAAGGATTCCTCTGTTTGAGATCTGTTGGTCTAGATGGGATTGGACGAGGGCAGTGTGGATAACTCAGTGCAGCCCGTCATCTTTGCTCTGGGGTTGAGTTACAGCCGCCATTCTCTCCGCCCATACACACACACACGCACACACGCACACATGCACACACGCATACACACACAGTCCGTTCAGCATACATGCTCAGTACCCTTATGCTAGATCATCAAAGAGCTGGTCATAGCCTCGGGGGCAAGGAGAAAGGCAGCTGGACTAGACCATGCACATTAAAGCACCAGGAAGTTCTGAAGCAGAGTGGCCTCCCTGCTGGATTCCCAATGGTGCCATCTTCCTTGTAGTCCTGGCTGTAGCTTTGGCTCCCCACCCTCCCTCCTGTCCTGGGGAGCATTGTGATGGTCAGCAGAACATGTTGGGGAGCAGAAGCCGTGAAGGTGGCCAACTTTAGCTGCACGCGTGGGCCTGGGGTGGCCATGGTGGGTCCCCCAGGCTTGGGAGTGGCATATGGCCTCCCCGGGCCATCTAGCTGTGTGCCCCGCAGCCCCAGCCCCTCCTGCTTGGCACTGTGCTTCATGGGTAGGGGCTGAACTTGGGAGTGGTAGGAGTCAATTGCCCTCCCCTTTTTCCTCTTCCTTCCCTTTCTGCTTCTAACTCCTGATGTCCTGCCAGTCCTGTCCAATCTGGTCACTTAGCTGCATGAGCTACCTAGTTCCCCCTCCCCAAATTATGATCCTTTTGAATGACGAGTTTTGAGGGAACAGAAGCCAGAGGATTCTCATGGCCAGTCATCTGCGGGTGGCCAGGTATGGGGACATGTCGGAAGTGCCAGTGCTTGGTGCCTGACGGTCCCTGGCTGCCACCTGCACCCCAGCTGATGGCGTGCTCTTGGTTGTTCCCCCTTCTCCCTTCAGATGTGACTCCCTGCCCCGCCCTGGGCACTCCGAGCCATGGCCGACACCGTCTTCGGCAGTGGGAGCGACCAGTGGGTTTGCCCCAACGATCGGCAGCTCGCCCTGCGAGCCAAGTGAGTACCTCCAAGGCCCTGCCAGCCCTTCCCTTCCCTCCTTCTCCCTGCTTCCCTCCTTTTAGGGGCAGGATTCAATATCAGGGACCCAGAAAGAGAAGCTTGGGGAAAAGTGCATGTCTAATGCCCGCCACACTCCGGGCCCCAGGGTTGGCACTGAACATTCACTCCTTTAACTGGAATTTACCCTCATTTCTCCAAGGAGGAAAGGGAGGCCGGGCTCCTTGCCCAATGGCAGACCTTGGGACCCACGCCCAGGCCCCCTGACTCCCAGGCCTACAGCAGGCTGCAGGGGATCAAACCACTTCCTCTGCCTTCTCTGGTGAGAGTGTAAATCCCCCTGTCACTGAGCCTTCAGTCTCTGAGCCCCTGGAGGCAGGGAGACTTTGATACTTGGATGCCCCTTCACCTGAGGGCCTCACACTGAGAGGGCAGAGCAAAGGCTGGGCAATGAACCTTGCCAGGCTGAAACACACAGCCAGCCTCGAAGTGTCCCCAGTCTCCTCCAGTACCCTGTCAGGGTCTCTCCGGTTCTGGTTTGTCCCCTCCGGCTCCCAGTTTTCCTGTTATCCCTCAGCCTGGTGACCCATCAGACCCAGTTAGGTCAGGCCATCTCTACCCACCTCCCCACTGTGGCCAGAGACCAGGGCCTCCCAGATACCTCTCCTGCCTTCCAGGCTTCCCTCTCCATCCAGGGATTTGGAGGCCCCTGGTGTCTGATAAGCCCCAGGAACACCTCTTCAATCTGTCAAACCATGCCAGTTATGGGAGCCAGCATTTCCCATAGGGGACCAAGTTCAAGAAATTTGCAATTAGATGTTACAGGCCTGCAGGGGGACAGAGATGAAACATCAAAGAGGGCTAGAAAAATTAATCCAAAATGCCCAAGAGTGGAGTCCTCCGTGATTGGCAGGCATCTCTGTGCATAGGTTAATTTGTCCCTCTCTCCAGGATGGCTCGGCTCCTTTCAGTCCCCTGTGCAGCCCCTGTGGGGGAGAGCAGGGAGGAAACCAGTCGCTTTCCCTCTCTGCCCCGATGCTGGGCGTGACGATGTGTCCTCCTTGGCAGGATACAAGGAGCTGGGGAGAGCTGCTGCCGGGGTCTGGTGTGACCAGGGCCTGGTGTGACCTAGTGTGACCCCTCATGACCCCCCTGGCATTTCCTTCAGTTCTCCCTGACCTTGTCTTGCCCTCAGCAGCAGCCAGAAGCTGTTGTAGTATTTTTTAGTAGAGCAGATGCTTTTATCTCCTCCCCAGGGTGTGCTGCCTTGTACTGCTAGGCTCCTTGTAATGCCAGGCTCCGTAAAGGAGAATACTACAGATCTTGCATCCAGGTTCTGTGCCCTGAAGGTTCCTCTGGGAGGCCTGGGGAATTTGCCTTCCCTGGCTTCGGCTCAGGTCTGTCCTCCAGCACTATAGGATACTCTCTAAACCCCTACTAGGGGCCAGGCACTGACTGCACAGCAGTGAACAAGACTGATGTGGTCCTTTGTCTTAAGACCCTGGTGGGGAGAGGGGAGCAATATACATGGAATTACCCCTGCGCTGCTACTTAGACAGCAGAAACAGGCAGTGGGGGTGAAGGCAGGTGCTAATTTAATCTGGGAATTTGGAGAGGCTTCCTGAGAATGTGGTTTATGTTGAGTCCTGGAATAGCAGTAAGTGTTAGATGGAAATAGGGGGAAGGAGCTTCTAGGCAGAAGGAACAGTATGTGCAAAGGCCCTGGGGTAGAAGGAACAGGACGTGTAGAGGGCCTGGCAGGAGGCTGGTGTGGCTTGAATGCAGAAGGAGGTGATGAATGGGGTGAAAGGAAGCTGGGGAAGTGGGCAGGGGCCAGATGGTATAGGGCTGGTCCTCCAGACTCGCATTCAAGAGGGACGGACAGAGGGTCCTACTTGGCTTTAAAATAATGTTTAAGCTCCATGATGGAGCTATGCCTGGGTTGTCTGGGAATTCTGAGAATGGACTCAGCCCATTTTGGAGGGGATCTTCACCCAGAATATGAAGCAAGTCCTTTTTTTTTTTTTTTTTTCTCTCTAAGATTTCATTTATTTATTTATTTTAGAGGGTGAGGACATGAGCAGGATGTTGGAAGGAGGAAGGGGGAAAGAGAGAATCTCAAGCAGATCCATGCTGAGCACGGAGCTTGATGTGCTGCTTGATCCCAGGACCCTGGGATCCCAGACCAAAAGTTGGACTCAACCGACTGAGCACCCAGGCGGTCCCTAAAAGAAGTCTTAAGACTAAAAGAAGTCTTAAAAAGGAATAGGAGTGATGCAGTGGAAAGGGGATTTAGGGAGGTGGGCAGGCACTGCAGGTGGAGGGCACAGCGTGGGCAAAGGCCTGGAGAAGACAGCATGCAGCCCAAAGCACACTGTGTGAGGCCAGGGCAGCGGAGGGGTGAAGGTTCCATACCAGGGGACCCTACTGACAGGTGCCAGGGGCCACTGAAGACTCTTCCTTGGGGCTTACAATCACAGATGCATTTGGCAGCCACGAGCAGTCCACCTTTGTGGCGTTGGACGGGGGCATTCAGGGGAACAAGAGGCTCCGTGTTAACCAGGGCCATCGTGGGAGTTGCGACCTGACCGGATAGGGGCAGTGGGCCAGGGGAAGAGTTTGTCTGAGGGGGCAGGTTGTCAGAGTTTGGTCGGTGACCAGATGGAGGCAGAAAAGGAGGCCAAGAAGATGCCCCAGGGAAGCCTGGCTGGGCTTTCAGCAGCCATGGGCCCTGGACTCCATCTAATCGCTCTCAGCCTCCTTACTCTGCTGAGAGAAGGGGAGGCCAGCCTTATAGGATGACAGGAGGGTCTGGCGTGAGGAGGTATGCCATGCCCGGGGCTGGCGCCAGGCCCAGAGCTAACCGGGTAGGAGTGGCACCCTGCAGGTCGGATGATGGTGCTGGTGCTGTGTCCTCCCATTTCTGTGTTCCCGGACCTGCCTTTTCCCTGTGGGGTAGGAGGCCTGAGGCTGGGGACCCTGTTCTCCAGTTCTCCTTCGCTGGCCCAGGGACTCACACCCGGAGGGTGTCCTGGCCAATCCCTAATTACCTGAATCCCAGAAATGCTCAGGTGGAGGAAACCTGCAGCTCGGGGTGGGCAAGTGTTTCTTTTCAAGGCCTAAACCCCTTGAGTCTGCTCGATACACAGAAGAAAGGTGGGCCCATGCCCCTGCTCACTCTAAGGCCTGGCCTCCCTTCCTCTGTCTACCGGCCCTGCCCCTTTCCCGCTGTTCGCTTGCCCCGGCCCTGTGAGGACCTCTTCCAAAAGTGTTGCTCTAGGCAGTATTTCTTTTTCACTTGGAGACATAGGCAGTCTAGAAGTCTGGAGACCCTTGGTACGGCACCTTACTTTATGTCTTTGCACCTTTGCATGTGTGGCTTTCCTGCCTGAACACCATTACCTTCTTTCTCTGGGGGAAGCACCTTTCATCCTGCAAAATCCTGTAGGAGCACTGCATCTTTGGTCTAGCCATTCCTGATGGTTCTGCCCATGAGAATGCTAGTCATCATCAAGAACCATCCCGGATGAAAGCAGTTGGGCATTTGCTATGTGCAGAGCACTTTGTATACCCTGCCCCATTTACTCTGCATGGCATCCCTTAAAGGGATGGATCAGGAAATCCGGGATGAGCAGCTGCCCACATTCTATGGTTGGGAAGGGACTGAGCTAAAGTTAAGACCATCTGGTGGACACCGGTCTGAACCCTTCCCCTTAACGGGCCTGCTGGACTTGCAGAGGAAGGACATGTTCTTTAGCTCTCCTGATGTGCACCGCATGGATAGTTACAAGAACCGTTAGCTGCAGTAGCCCAGATGGGGCAGTGAAGTAAGACCACCAGTGTCCATCCGTGTCAGGGAACCATCAAGAAGGCGTCCACATCCTCACCCTCCTGCCCTGTGTCCTGCATCAGAAACTCTTGCTTGCTGTCATTTCTTTAGGGAAGCCCTTCTAGAACCTTACCTCTGATTTGGTTAGTTCCCTGATTTATACAGCCTCCTAATGTCCACCTGCATGTACCCCCCCAGCAGCCTGTCCCCAGCACCTACCCAGCCTGGCCTTGCAGAGGACGCCCAGTGAATAGGTCACAAACGAATAGCTCTTCTCGTTTTGCATTAAGTAAATATTGGTGTCAGTGATGGATTGTCTTGTGTCCCCAAGCCTGTTGTCATTCTTCGGGGTGGTCACTTTGCTCTCTTGCCCGCCTCCGTGTTCCTAGCACCTGGCACAGAATGTCTCGGACAGGCTGGGATCTTGGGCAGAGATTTGGGGCTTGGTCTGTGGCTGCCACTCCATTCCCTCGAGAAAGACAGAAAGGGCATGCGTCCTTCCACTCTGTACTCCTGTCTGTCACCCGCCTGCCCTCGTTGGCTCTCCTGTGCAGCAGCGCCGCCCTTCTGCCCTCAAACCCTCTCATTTCCAAACTGCTATGTGCACCTCCTTTTACATTCAGGGTTCATTTTTGATCTAATTACCATTCTTTCCCATGCCACAGTGAGCTCCATTCACTTAGATGCCACAGAGCTCAGTCTTTTTTTTTTTTTTTTAAGATTTTATTTATTTATTTGTGAGAGAGAGAGTAGACAAGGTGGGAGAGGAGCCCAGGGAGAGGGAGAAGCAGGCTCCCCGTTGAGCAGGGAGATTGATACAGTACTCCATCCCAGGACCCTGGGATCACGACCTGAGCCGAAGGCAGAGGCTTCACTGTCTGAGCCACCCAGGTGCCCCCAGATCTCAGTCTTGCTGATCTTCTGCACTCTTCCCTCGCAGCCCCTTGTGCTGTGGCAGTGGCCTTCTCCGTCTGTCCAGTGGGTCATACCCATGGCGCTAAGTTAGCCCTGCCATCTTTGTGGGGCCCGGTGGCTGGCAGGCGTCAGAGCCAGCATCTGAAGCATCTGCCCTGTTCCCCGAACCCCTCTTCTGCACATATAGCACTTGGGCTGTCCCCAGACAGTTCTTGGCGGTGGGAGGGCTTTGTGATATGTAAGGGCTGCCTGAGTTTGCCCTGCGGTGGCATCAGGGCCGGCCATGTGCTCTCTCCAGGCTGCAGACAGGCTGGTCTGTGCACACCTACCAGACAGAGAAGCAGAGGAAGAGCCAGTGTCTCAGCCCTGCTGAGGTGGAGGCCATCTTGCAGGTCATCCAGAGGGCAGAGCGGCTGGACATCATGGAGCAGCAGAGAATCGGGTAAGGACTGCTTCTGAGCTGGGGCAGGAACAGAATGCTTGAGAAGGAAGCAAAGTCATTTAGTGTCAGATCTGTGGGCTGAGAGTGGTGCCCTGGGTCCTAGCGCTGGCATGCAGCACTGGGAGGGAGTCTGCTTTGCCCGAACACCCCTGGGGTGTAGACGCATCACTCAGCCCCACAAAGTCTCAATATTCTCCTCTGTAAGAAGTGGATTGTGGCTCCTGCGTGGGCCCTAGGCTGTGCGGGGATGAATGAGCGTGGTGAAATGCATTTGGAGCTCTTCAGCTCCATACACGTGAGGGTCTGCTCTGGTCCAGCCAGAGGAGGGATTTGAGGGGAAGTGGAACCTGGATCGTCCTGCCCCAACAAGGACTCCAAGAGAAGATGCTCTCCAGCTTGTTCTAAGCTCTTCTCCTGGCCTCCAGCGTCCAGAGCTGACCTCTATCCAGCCTTCAGACAGTTTGGTGGTGTCTCTTTTCGTTTGTTGAATTAAGAAAGCAGTTCATACCTCCTAGAAAATTGGAAAGACACGGAAAAACACAAGTAGGAAAACAAATGCAGTGCATGGCATTGAGCAGGATTTAATTTGATTCTGATCTCCTTGTTCTATTCATCTTTTTTGTTAAAATATGTGATCATTTAAAAAGTCAGACATTGTAGAAATGCAGTTGTTTTTTTTTTTTTAAGAATCTATTTATTTTGTCAGTGAGAGAAAGAGAAAGAGCACAAGCAGGGGGAGTAGCAGGAAGAGGGAGAAGCAGGCTTCTTGCTGAGCAGAGAGCCCAATGCAGGGCTCAATCCCAGGACCCTGGAATCATGCATGACCTGAGCCAAAGGCAGAGGCCTTAACCCACTGAGCCACCCAGGCGGTATATTCTCCCCTGATCACCTCAGGGGAGAGTATAGGGAGAGGGGGCCTAGATGTTGCGCCCTGGGCTCTGCCTCTTAGGAACTATGTAACGCTGGTGGGAAGTGACTTTACATCTCTCAGCCTCAGTCTTCTTATCTTTAAAATGGGGGAAATAACATCCTCCTCCCTGGGAGGTTGAGATAACATACCTGCACTCTGTCCTGTGTTCCTTCATTCAAGAACTTTCCCTGTGTGTCCCCTGGGGACTGGAGATATAGTGGCCAACAAAACAGAAGTGGCCACTAGTTTTGTGAGGGTTGTAGTGTTGCCATGAAAAGAAGGGGTCATGGTGGGCTGAGGGGCCATGGGACCCTGAGGAGAGTCCCCTGTCCTAGGCTTAGCACGTTTCAGTGATGGCTCCTGGACACCCGGCGTCAGAGGTTCGAAGGGAAGCTCTTTTCTTTCTTCCTTCAGCTTCTTCATTTAGCCACTTGCTCAAACCAAAACCTCTACATCATCCCAGGTCTCCTTCTCTCTCTCTCTGACCTCCTGTACTCCATTTCCATGAATGCTGCCTCAGTGCCCCTTTACTGGGCCTCCCAGCATCTCCTGTTGGCTTCCTCACCTGCACTCCCTTGTTGTAGTCCTGGATTTCTAGGAGTGAGCTTTGAAAACTGCCACTCGGGGGGCACCTGGTTGACTCAGAAGAACCTGCGACTCTTGATCTTGGGGTAGTAAGTTTGAGCCACACGTCAGGTGTAGAAATTACTTACATAAATGAATAAATAAATAAGAATTTTAAAGAATTAAAAAAAAATTCAAATGTCCCTTAGATCAAATCCCACCTCTACTTAAAATTCTTCAGTGGCTTCATGTTGATCTTAGAAAATAATCCAAATCCTATTTTGTGTCCTACAAAACCAATGTAACCTGCCCCCTTCTCACCCCTCCAGCCTCCTTTTATCCCAGGATCCTGCAGGCTCACAAGGGAATGGCCACACTGGGCTCCTGGAGGTTCTCATATGCCAAAGCCTTTGTCTTTGCCACCCCCCCGCCCAACGCTCTTCCCTCTACCTGGAGTGCCCCCCACCCTGCCCTGCTTTTCGCCTGGTTTTGCCTTGTCATCCTTTAGCTCTCAGTTCACATGTTCTCACAGAGGCCTTCACTGATCTCCACCAGACATGCTCCCTCTCAGTCTTCTCCCTACACACTTACTTGATTTCATAGCACTCCCCCTGTCTGAAGTCAGTTTGCTTGTTGACTTTTTATGGGCTTTCTCTTTATTGTTCTATGAGAGCATGTCTGTCTCTGGCTTGTTTGCTACAATATCCCCAGGGCATGGCACATTGTAGGTACTCAATTAATAATTGGTGAGCAAATGAATGATTAGAAGGTAGCCTGGAAAAAGGGTGGGGCAGGGAACAGTATCCCAAGTGAGGGTACAGCACATGGGCCCTGGTATAGTGCTGGGGCCCCATGGCAGCCATACTGGGGCAGTGGTCAGGTTGGGAACAGGAAACACATCCATCTGACTCTGTCCTGTGCTGCAGACGGCTGGTGGAGCGGCTGGAGACCATGAGGCGGAACGTGATGGGGAATGGCCTTTCCCAGTGTCTGCTCTGTGGGGAGGTGCTAGGCTTCTTGGGCAGCTCATCAGTATTCTGCAAAGACTGCAGGAAGGTAAGACCCTGCTCTGGCTTCCCAATCTGGACCTGCTCTGTGACTTTACACCCTGGCTTCTAGGAGTGTATGTTGTGCGTGTCAGTGTGTGTCCTTGTGTGCAGGTGTGTGCACATGATATCCTGTCCTTCTTGGCAAGAAGAGTTAGAGCCTATGGTTGAATGGTCTGGCTTCTAGGACCAACTCCGGGGAGTGGACCTCTGGGTCTCACAGGCCTGGGTATAAATTCAGCTTTTCCACTAGCTGGATGATCTCAGAAAACTGGTTTAATATTTTGAGCCTCATCTTCCTCATCTGTAAAATAGGGATAATGTACCTTAGAAAATTGTGAGGATTAAATATTATATTCATTGGGTCTTAAAAACCTTGTCTGGCACAGAAGTACTCAGAAAACTTTATTAGTTATTAAAGAACTAAAATTCTCCTCAGGGCAAAACAGCGTGCTAGGATTATACTTCTAATTCTGTTGATCTGCTCTCGATCCCTGGTCCCTCAAATGAGAATGATCTTTGCTGCAAAGTGAAGTGGATTTTTCCCTTTTCTTATACTCCACTGGTTACTTAAATGGTGCCACATATTAAATTGTTTCAGATTGAGTCCCAGACTTCTTAAAATAACTTTTTGTTTTTCCTGGAGTTTCTAATTGCCTTTCATTTCTTACTGACCCAAGAATAATGTGCCTTCCAATCCTTAGGATTATTTAGCATCCCAATTTTACTGTCTATTGCATGGAGCCTACATTTTTCCCTCTTTTGGACCTTTAGTCCTACTCCAGTGTAAACTTATTGCTGCATAGCTGTCATCATGGGACTTCCCTTTACTACCCTCCTAGGTTAGAGAGCTGTTCCCAAGATACCATATCTCCCTCTTTCCTTTGTTTTTACTCTAGTTTTACTGTTACTTATCTTCCATTTGTTTTAAGCCTCAAGTTATTTTAGTTAACAAGATAGAGATAGAAACTTCTCTCTTGAGATTATATTGGATGAAGGAACAAAAACCAAATAATGATCAAATAAATAAGAATGTTTCATGAAGCAATACATTCTAGGAAGAAATAATAGGAAATAGAAGATTGGGGATGGGGTGGAGTGAAGTGGCTAGAGCCGAGAGGACTGTAGGATATAGAGAAGTCAAAGAAGTAAACATGGACTTAGCTGCGTGAAAGCTGTTGGCAACCTTGATAAGGTCATTTTGAGTGGCATTCAAAAACTGGGTGAGGGAACCCAGATGCAAAAGGGTCAATACACTGAACTAATAAGTGGAAAAGTCAGGATTTCAGCTAGATCATTTCCCCGCCTGTTCTGGGACATGTGGTGACCTGGGCTAAGGACTGTGGAGTCGCTGGTGAAGGGTCTCAAGAACAGTGGAGATGTGACCGGGGCCTGGGTGGCAGGATAGGGGTGGGCACTCCTGTACCCGCCTCTCCTTAACCCTTCCATGGCCCCGGGCTAGATACCAACATAGGCAGTGGGCAGAGGGACTCAGAATGTCTTGCTCCCAGCCCTTGGGCAGATTGGGTTGTACTTTATGACTTCTGCCTAGGACAGTGGGGCCCAGCATCCCATTTCCCCTTTCTGCCCCTCAACCCACAACTGCTATTAATGTTCAGGTTTGAAGGACCATGACGAGGGGGCAGAGGCTTGTCTCTTCGCCTGGAAAAGTATGGGACCTCTGCTATTGGGGCAGGATGCTGTCTTGACTGGTGAAGGATCCTTGGAGAGTCATTTCCTAGACAACAGTGGGAACCCCAGGGGAGGATCCCAGCTGCTTGGGGAGGGGTGGTAAAAAATGTTCTTCTAGATGCTCTGGACACTCCCCACCCCATTGTACCCTGGAGTACTGGGCTGTTCCAGTTTTTCTCTTTTTTAAGGTTTTATTTATTTATTTATTTGAGAGAGAGTAAGAGCTAGAGACAGAGAGAGAGCACACACAGAGGGAAAGGGAGAGAGAGAGATTTCCAAAGATGGAACTCCTGCTGAGCAGGGAGCCCTATATGTGGCTTGATCCCAGGACCCCAGGATCACAATGTTAGCCTAAGGCAGAAGCTTAACCAACTGAGCCATGGGCTTAACCCAGACAGCCCTGGGCTGGTCCAGTTTGAAATTGTTCATATCTTGCTGCGGACTGAGAATCTGATCTTGGCTTGGGCAGCAAGGTGAAGAGGCCTTTGGGTTTCCAAGGGAAGTGCTCCTGGGTAGAAGTGGGAGGAGAGGGTGCAAGTAGGCATTTGCATGTTTTCTTCTTCATCCTTGAGAAGATGGTGTCATTCATTTGTTCGTTCATTCATTCATTCATTCTGCAAATAGTAGAGGGCCCACTATATGCAGGCCCTGTTCTAGGTGCAGGCAATACTATGAGCAAGAGAGACAAAGCCCTTGCTCTCATGGAGCTTTTTTCCAGGGGTGGGAGAAGGGGAACAGCAAACAAACAAAATACTATCCGGTAGACTAAGGGCTCTGTAGTGAGTTAGAACAGGGCAGTGTGGTAGGGTACAACTAGGAGGGCCATTCTGAGCTTAGACCTGAGCACAAGCAGGACCCAGCTCTGGGAAGATCTGGAAGGAAAAGTGTTCCAGGCAGAGGGAGCAGCCAGCATGAAGTTCCTGAGGGGGAAAGCAGCTGGGCATGTTCAGGGAACTGATGAAGGCCTCTGGGGCAGAGGTGGACATGGCCATCACATGAGAGCTTCATAAGTCAAGGTCAGGAGTTGAGATTTGATTCTAAGTTTCATGGGATGCCAGTGGAGTGTTGTGAGCGTGGTGTGACGTGATCTGATTTGTCTTTATAAGTGATGAGCCTCTCTGCTGTCTGGTGAGTGGATGGCAGGGGGACATAAAGCGACAGTAAGTGTCGAGTTAGGCGCTGCCTGTCCTTGGGGATGAGACAGTGGGGCTGGACATGAGGCAGCACGGCATGGAGGCCATGTTCTAAGAAAGTCCATCTTTTCACTGTATCGAAGCAGGTGGGTGATGGAGGGTCGCAGGAGGAAAAGCGGGTCCTAGACTGCAGCCAGGCCAGAGTGAGAGGTTACTGGGTCCGTCCTGCGTGATGGGGGGCCGTGGGCCCCCTGCCTGCCTGCCAGTGCTGTTACTATGCACACGCATGGGTTGCAGTCCCGGTGTGGGGGTGGGGGCAGGCTGCAGAAGGGACGCTGGGAGATCTGGGAAGTGTCCAGATCTAAGTCTCAGGTGCTCCTGGCCACATGGAGCTATCCCCAGCAAGATCCCTGGCACATTCAGCAGCCACAAGCTAATGAGTGTGCCAGCAGAGCCTGTGATGCCGGGCAGGCCTTGGTGTGGTGACCCCCTCCGTAATTGGGCCTGCACGCCCGGGCCACCAGCCCTCATGGGAGGGGTGTGGTGGGAAGGGAGAGGGGCCGGCTGCTAATTAGAGAGGCCTAGCGCTTCTGATTGCTTAGCAGCTGAGTCAGCCAGCTTTCGGTTTGATTGAGAGCCTTGTCTGCACCAACCACGGGGGAGGCCAGACGGAGCTGCTGCAGAGCCAGCCTGAGCCTGGGACGGCATTGTCACCGTGACAGGGAAGCAGTCGCAGCTGTTCTGGTCTCAGACAAAATGTGTTCCGAGGTGTGGACAGAGGGGCCTGCCCGGAAAACAGTGGACGCCACAGTATGTGCTGAGTCCCCAGGGAAGAAGAAAGCTTCTGCTCTAAGATCCCAGCCCCAGCACTAGCCCCCACCACCGGCTCAGACTCAGGCCTATGTTTAGGGCCCTCTGCTCGCCTTGCCCTCCCCCACACCTCCCCACCCCCACACCACACACACCCCAGCTCAGGGTCCCCACAGCCTCCCTCAGGCCATCCTTGCTCTTGCAAACAGTGGACACCAAACCTGTGGTCTTTCTTACCTTACAATGTCCCTTGGGCTTTAGAACGCTCTTTAACAAAACTTGTTTGATCCTCAGGACGAAGCTATAGGGAGAGCAGGGGTGGTGAGGCTGTTCCCCAGTCATAGCTGGAGAGTAAGGGTTCAGTTGAGGTCACGTGGCCTGCTTGGGTTACCCAGACGGGTGGTGGGGAGCTGGGTCCCCCGGGGGTGTTTGCTGAGCCATGCTGGGCCTCCTCTCCTTCAGGCCAAAGCAGTCACAGCATTTCCCTTCCTTGGAGAAGCAGGGTTTCATCTTTCCTTTTTTTTTTTTTTTTTTTTAAAGATTTTATTTATTTATTTGACAGAAATCACAAGTAAGCAGAGAGGCAGGCAGAGAGAGAGAGGTGGGGAAACAGGCTCCCAGCTGAGCAGAGAGCCCGATGCGGGGCTCAATCTCAGGACCCTGAGATCATGACCTGAGCCGAAGGCAGAGGCTTTAACCCACTGAGCCACCCAGGCGCCCCAGGGTTTCATCTTTCTAAAGAATGCAGGAGAAGAAGCATATTCACGGGTTAAATATCAAGAACTTTTCTTTAAAATCAAGAATAAGACAAGTTCTATGTATGTTTATAACTGCTTCTATCTAACATTGAACTAGCCCCGGCCCAGTGCAATCAGGCAAGGAAAGAAATGTATGGTGTACAGATTGGAGAAGCAGAGCTAAAGCTGTCATCCTCTGTGAATAACGTCATTATGTAACGAGAGCGTCTGACAGAATTTAAATACAAATGGTCACAATTAGTAGGTGGATTTATTAGCAGGGTTGTTGCCTAGAAGTTTAATACTACTTGTCAGAAAATCAGTATTCCCATAGACCAGAGACAAAGATGAGAGAAAATAAAAAGTGCAATTTAGGGCAGTGGAGCCACTGATGGGCAGAGAATGGTCTTTTGAATAAATAATGCAAAGCTGTTTGGATATTCATCTGGAAAAAAAAAATGTATCTTGACTTACCTCACACTGGTTACAAAAGTCAATTCTACATGGATCTCGGATTTATTTATTTATTTATTTATTCAAGCTTTTATTTATTTGTGAGGGAGAGAGGGAGCACAAGCAGGGGGAGGGCCAGAGGGATAAGCAGGCCCCACTCTGAGCAAGGAGCTCGATGTGGGACC